TTTTATTAAAGGTTTTTTAGAGTATTAGCTCCATTCTTAAAAGTCCTTAGTGAACAGCCATCACTGCCGGAGACGGAAATCCGTGAAGTAGAGTGACGTGACATTTTTAGGGTCGACCTTTTCTAACCCTTCCTTCCTTGTCAGAAGGCAGATTCGCTGCAGATGCTGGTTGTCCGAGGGAAACACCTTACTGCTGCCACACCCCTCTACAATCAGCAGTACGACTTCGCCCTCAGACCTTGAGAAGCTGCTTTTAGTCTCATCGTTCTCGAGTCGACCAGCCTGGCATGGTAAAACCTTCAGGAACATATGTTCCAGCCAATATAGCTCGGTTGGGTCATCACGATAGGCAAGCCCGACCACCACGTCAAGGTAGCAGCTACAGTTGGGCAAATCTAATTGTAGTAGAGGTTGTAAAAGTATTAGCGGTGATCGGAGAGCTTAGGGTTCAAGGATATTATTCAAGAAGTAGAATCTAGTTAAACCAAAAGATAAAGGTGATTAGGAATTCAGAAGGTTACGATTTGACGGAACACAAAGAATGAATGAACCTGTGCTATTGCAAAAGGTTTTGTGCCGTGTTATTTAGGGTCTCTAACCATCGATTACTATCAACTCGTGGACCCCAACCAGGTAGTAAATACCTACTAACATGACTCAGTTCACCTGTCAGTGACTTCGTGGATTTGTGCCATTTTTAGGTTTGGACGCCCGTAGCTTTCTTCCAACCTACTCCTACACTACAAAACATAGCTCATCGAGGCAGTCGTTGGTCGGATATTCGTAGCACATGCCTCAGCCATCTAAACTGATGAAGTTTCAACACTACATCTATTGACCTGCCATCCCTACCTAGAACTCGTTTCCTAACGACAGCATTACTTATACGGTTGTCCCACGATATACGAGCAATGCTTCGAATACATTTATAATCGAAAACAGTTCGACAAAAGCTCTAAATCGACCAAAAGCGTTCGAGTAGAGAGCCTGTATAAAGTTAATGTACTTCTCTGGTACACCTTTCAACGACAGATACAGCCACAGAATCTCACGGTTTACAGAGCCAAATGTCGCTTTAAGGTCGAGATATAATACTATTGTGAATCGTCTGAATATGTGTCTATGTTCCAGAATCTGACATCCAGGTCTGAAACCAGCCTGGTTCCCTTAAGTTTGCTCTTCAAGAGCTCTAGTTACGCATCTAAGCATTATCGATGTTAACAATTTCGACACTGTATTAGTTAGACTGATTCCTCTGATATCATCACAAGAGGACTTTTGTCCTTTCTTATAAATTGGGGCAATCAGGAATTGATACTAGTCAAACGGGACTACGCCCAGTTCCTAAAGCCTACCTAGGATCGCAGCCGATCTAACTGTTAAAACTGGACTACCATCCTTAAAAATCTCAGGGATTAGCCTATCAGTCCCTCCCTCGATTCAGATTTCTTATAGCTTTCTTAACTTCATCAAGATTCAGACTAGAGATCGTGGGCAACCGAAGTGTGGCTGAAGGACAATGGAAACGATCCCTAAAGTGCTCTGCCCATCGATTTAATCTCCTGGATTGAGAATAAATAATAAGACCATCCTTTGCCGAAATAGTCTCACTTGCATTCAGATTCCTAATACCAGTTTCCTTGATAAGTTTGAACAGTTGCCTACTGTTGCCTATCGCCACTGTCTTTTCCATCTCCGTCGCTTTCGCTACCCACTACTGTTCACGATCATTGCGTAGGCTTTTCATCAGACTGCGCCTATGCTAAATCTGCTCCTCATCGTACTCAGAGCCAGACAGGATGAGTTTTCGAGCATCAGTCAGTTCGGTAGATGCTACTGAAATTCACGTATTCTCCCTCGATTATACTTAGACGCCTAACTAGAGATCGTGAGGAGCAGACTAGAGAAAACCAGGCTGGTTTCAGACATGGACGTGGATGTATAGACCACATTTTCACACTGCGTCAGGTCCTAGAACATGACACATGTTCAGACGCTACATCAAAGTAGTATTTCTCGACCCTAAAACGACATTTGACTCGGTGAACCTTGAGTTTCTGTGGCAGTATATGTCACTGAAAGATGTACCGGAGAAGTACATTCACCTTATCAATCAATTACAACGTACGACTTCGTACGTACATACATCAGTTTGGGTTGCTATACCGCATCACCACAGAGACGCAACTGTCAGTTCAAATCCAAGAGTGGTAGACATAGTAGGAGTATTAGCAATAATGGAGAAGATTAGGGTTCCAAAATATGATTCGAGAAGTATATTTCAGTGAGACAACATTAGAAAGAGAAAGATAGAGATGATAAGGAATTCAGGAGGTTAGAATTTGAGAGAACACAGAGAGTGGATGCATCTGAGCCATTGCGAACGATTTTGAGCCATATCGTTCAAGGTCTGAGAGAGAGAGAGAGTTTACTGTATAACTCATCTCTTATCTCGTCTTTTTGGAGATACAGCATATATCGATTTCACTTCTAGCTAGTGAAGCCTGTTGCCTTATTTAGCACAACCTCCAATATGTAATTTAGTACGTGGTTTCAGGATACCAGGAATAATGTTTTGTGAGCTTAAACCATCTGGTTCAGTGGAACGAGGTAACAAGCGATCGAAAGAAGGGTTGGTTGAGGAGATGAGTTATTAGGAAGTGTAGAGAGGATTTGGTTGTGACCGATTAGGTCTCATGTGCTTTTATGGGTATGAAGGCGGATGTTACTTCCCGACTGCCCACACCGTGGGAGGGCTCTGGTTGTCAGAAGGGGCATCGTCCTCGTGATTTCCGAAGGAACTCGGCTTTCATCATGAGACGTCATAACTTTTCAAGATACAGACCTTCTGAGTCCCAGAGCAGAGTTTAAATGGTTTGAATTATTTTTTCTTTTTATTTTTTTAAGCGAGTTAGTTTTCTACGGGATGGGGTAGCCAACCTCAAGCCCAACCCTACTCCTTTATCCACGCTAGGGACCAGCAGTAGCCCCGGAGGGTCTACAGGCGAAACTGTTACTTTTGAGTAAAAGAAGGCTATGAAACGTGGTGAATAGAAACTCTTGTGGCAGGCAAATAATGTAAATAACTCTAATTCATTTTATGTACCATTACAACACAGTATCCTGCTATTCACTGTCACTAAGTTAGTCTATATAGCTAATTTCATATAATGTACTTTAACTTTGATAGTAAGCAAAAAGAATGTTAAGTCAACATCCAAGTTAGTCTCAAAACTCTTAATTATACGCAGTTCGCATTACGAATGTTCTGGTAATTTCTCATAAGATGAATTTAATTCTAACTACACACAGGATTAACTGTTAAATATGTGCGGACAATCGTTTAACATTGACTTGTTTCAAACATTAAAGGTGGTTGATAATTAACCTTCTCATTATTGAACAGTTAACTCACTATCATAGATGTCAAATACCTTTATCTTAGTTCAATGATAAATTCAGTTGGCTAAGTGAGATATTTTTTATAAACATAGGACTCTGATCATTTAGCGAAAAGTATCGATTATCTATGGAACTTAACCAATCAATTTGTAATAAAAAGGATGGGTATTAGTAAAACAGCGACTACGTAATTGGACTGGGCCACATTGTAAGAAAATTAGATCGAACTAACCACATGATTAAATTCTAAAAAAATTAAAAGGGCAGAAATTTTTGAATTTTATTTCCCACCACCCCGTGTGATGCATATCTAGTCAGGCCACTGGTGTGAAATTTTTGTAATATAACTAGACTACTGATGAGTAACTAGAATCTATTAACAATCTCGTAGTACTAATAACCTGTTTTTTATTGGTTTATACATATTTTGTCTAATAGACCTGGTTATACCGAGTACTTTTGTCCTCATGTGGGTTGAAATTTGACTGCTGTTGCTAAATGCATATAAAATATGAAATTGATACAAACCAACTACCATTCGTGGTAGAACCACTCATTTATTTACTACCATGCATAAGTATTCCGAGAAGCCAATACGGCCTATCGACTTAATTCAACATCGGGTGAGTTGTTCCATAAATCTAACGTGGTGCGTATTGTGCCTCAGACATTTGTGTTCAGAATTTAGCGAAGCCCTCTAGATTTGTACTGTATTTGTTTTGTCTAGGAATCAATTTTATTTTGTGAAGTATATTTTTGTCCCTACACTGTGCTAAACTTTTGGATAAAACCGATCGCATAACAAATATGTTACGTGCACTAAGTGCGAACGCAAATTCTCTTAAATGATATTTTGATAAATCAGTAAATTTGAATAAATAAATTAGAATTAGCGGTATTTATATTAGTTGAAAATTTTTATTTACCTAAAAAGTATCTAGTTAAAGGCGTTTCTCATAATGAAAAACAGTTATGTAATAAGGTACGAAAATCCAACTGAATTAAACCAGTCTACGAACTTTTTGAGACAATCACAGAGGAATCAGTCTAACTAATATAGTGTCTAAAATAATAGCCTCCATAATACTTCGACGCCTAACTAGAGCTCGTGAAGACCAAACTCGAGAATACCATACTGGTTTTTGACCAGAATTTGCAGTTATGAAACGGGTGCTAGATAAGGATGGCGGATCAATGAAGTAGTGAAACTTTGTGAGTTAAGGTGGTTGGGATATGTGTTACAAATGTCCAACCACCGACTGCCTTGACGAGTCATGTCTCATGGTATAGGAGTAGGTTGGAACAAAGCTACGGGGCGGTCAAATCAAAACATGGCACAAATTCATGAAGTTACTGATAACTGGACTGATCATGTTGGTAAGTGTAGACTACCTAGTTTAAAATACGTTATCGAGTTTTCGTACTTTATATTACATAAGCCTTAAAAACTACACAAATACGTGATAGAAAACTGCTTAATTTCAGCTTAGTCGAAACAACTGGAACATTTATACGAAAAGATGAGTCGCATCCATTCAAGTATTGATTGACTTTAAACCACAAAACATCATCTAAAGTGGAAAAAATCAATTACTTACCGGAAGATATATCCATACCAGTGATGCGTCCAGAGAGCAAAATTTTACTAGTATTTTCTCCAGATCGTTCATCCCAGATCCGCAAATGCTGATCAAAGTGGCCAGTAACAAGGGCAGACATAGAGGGACAAACAACTACATCTTGGAATGTGGAGGTAGCCATTATGGTACGCCTACAACAGCACTTGTCAACGTCCCAAATCTGAGATTATCCAAAATAAAATTTATTAATCGTGGAAAACCTAACCATTATTAAACGTCACAAAATATTAGCTCCATAAATATTAAGATCAGAATAATGAGTAGATAAACATGTTGTTAAGTGGCACGTTACAAAATTTCATGTGATATTTAAAGTAGCAAGTTAAATTTTTCTTAAAACCAGCAAACCATTACACCGGGTATAGAAAGTATATTTGAACAAAGTATCGTCTTTTGTATCCTGTTTTGACAATAGATTCTTAACATATTCCAAGCTAAAGCCGATCAAATTTTATTGAATCGAAACCAAATCTTGACAACTTATTTTAGAGACTGGACAGGTTTTATGAGACTTTTGTGGGTTGATTTTACTCAAACGCTTCAAGATCCCTGTTCTGTGGATCCACCATCGTATAATTGTACACATGCAGGATGATAACTGACAGAGAATTTATATCGGTAATTTTTTGCAAATTATTTAGCTTCACAAAATTTTATGAAGTAAAATCGTCTATAAGGCAGGAATTTTATCAACTATTCATTACTTGTTGTTAAAACTACTTTGAAAAAGTGTTAACAGTGATAACAAGAAACACTCGAAATCACCTTGATTGTCCTATCTGATGAAGCAGTGACAACACGATTAGCAGAGCCAATGAATTTAGCAGAGATAACACGCTCAGAATGTCCCGTCAAGTTAACTCGAAGTCTGGAATCATTTAATGTCCATACACGACACGAAAAATCACTTGACGCGCCTAAAACAGCAGTTTCCTAAAATGAATCGGAAAAATAGTGTAGGTGACAAAACACTAGGCTGATTAGTATCCCTCTGAAAAAGAAAACATCAATATTTACCATTCTCGTATGACAAGATCACTTAAGGTAATGCAAAATGTTACGAATAATTAAGATCTCTTAAAAGATGTAACCAAAACAAAAAATGATGTATGAATCCGTAAAAATTAAGACTACTAAAAATCTGAAATAAGTTTATAAAACTAAAAAACGACAATCTCATTCAGGTTAACACTCTTTAAAATAGTGTGATAAATGCGAGATCTTGATACAACGGGCTCCGATTAACAGCACCCTAAAGATAAATATGAAAGCGAATCTATAACAATGAAGTTGATTTTAGGTCATTTCAACTAGTAAATTCTACTTTAATGCAAAGGCAGATCAATTAACATCACGTTCTCCAATATGTTCTACAATGACAATTCGTTAGTGTCATTATGAGTTTTTGTGGAGTTGGTCGAACTTGAAGTTACAGGTAACGGACTGTCTACTGAGTTCAGTGAGTTAAAGGCTAATACTTTATTATGTGCGTATTTAGTCATCATCTACCCCATTTTTGTGTTGACTTCAGTCCCTATTGTTGTTTTTCCGTCTTTATTTTCCTTATGAGGTATACAGACAAATATAATTTGAACTAGTAAAAAAAACAATTAGCTTCCAAGTTGCCTTCATTTGTCTAATTGTCCGACTCATGTGAGTAGAATAATCGGAGACTTTCATATATTAGAAAATCAGGTGAACAAATACACAGAGATGCTCAGCATTTACTAGATAATGAATATATTTCACGAAGCGAAAGTAGTCAATCTACACTGAATATTAAATGATGCTTGACAGTGTGAAGGAATGTACACAATTCATTGATTTTTATACGTAGAAAATGACCGTAACTATTTTAAAATATCATTAGCTATATTAAGAACAGAGTGCAATAAATCAGTCAGTCAGTCAGTCAGTTACAACGTAGAACTTCGTACGTAAGTACATCAGTTTGGGTTGCTATACCGCATCACCACAGAGACGCAACTGTCAGTTCAAATCCAAGAGTGGTAGAGATAGTAGAAGTATTAGCAGTAATGGAGAAGATTAGGGAGCGAAGATATGATTCGAGAAGTATAATTCAGTAAGATAAATTTAGAAGGAGAAAGGCAGAGATTATGAGGAATTCTGTGGATTCGAATTTCAGAGAACACAGAGAGTGGAATCATCTGCGCCATTGCGAACGATTTTGAGCCATGTCGTTCAAGGTCTCTAACCATTGGCGACTTTCGTCTCGCGGACACCAACCAGGTGGCCTACATCTACCAACGTGACTCAATCCACTTGTCAGTGACTTCATGGATTTCTGCCATTTTTGATTTGGCCGCCCCCTAGCTTTCTGCCAATCTACTCCTACACTGCAAAACATAGCTCGTCGAGGCAGTCGGTGGTAGGGCATACGTAACACATGTCCCAAACACCTCGACTGATGGAGTTTTTCTACTTCTTCTATTGATTTCCCATCCCTGTCTAGTACTCGTTTCCTAACGACAGCACTGCTTACTCGGTTGATCAAGGATACACGAGCAATACTTCGAAGACATCTACAACCGAGAACCAGTAACCTAAGAATGTTTTCTACTCTTGCCGGCCATATTTCGCATACGTAGAGTAGGAAAGAGAGAACTGTTGCGTCGTACACTCGACCTTTGGTTAGCAAACGGATATCTCGCCTACGCCATAAATGACGCAAGTTGGCAAAAACCAATCGAGCTTTCTGTATCCATGCTGAGATTTCGTCACACACCAGACCATGAGTAGTGATGAGACTCCCGAGATAAGTGAAGCGGTCAACGCACTCAACTACTTCACTCCCTATCACTAGTTCAGGTGCCGATGCAACCTAATCTTGAAGCAACATTTTGCATTTCCAGGGTGAGAACCGCATCCCGAACATGCTTGCATTGTTGCTTAGGGTGGTAAAAAGACTGCATTTTGTCAGCGTCTTCACCAAGTAGGACTATGTAATCGGCATACTCTAAGTCAGCAAGCGTGTCTCCTGGTAAAAGATTCACTCCTGAAAAGTCAGACGATGAAAATGTTAACTCTAGAAGCATATCTGCGACAAATTTAAGCACGAATGGAGAAAATGGACATCCCTGACGGAAACCCCCAGAAGTAAAGAATTCCAGCTGCTCCTAAGATAAATTTTCAGCTGTGCTGTCAACAGGAAGGACCCTAAGAGGCTTCCTTGAGGGGTCTTTCATACGTCCAGTAAGTTGCAAATAAATACGAGCTCGCACTTGGGCATGATCTGAATCTAGACATGTGCCCCACAACGAGCGACAGTCCTCTATTGAACCTCTCAATCGGTTGATGGCGATGTGATCGAGTTGGGTCTCGCCAGTTGGGGGGTCGCCAGGTCAAAAGATGTTTCACCTTATGCCTAAAGTTAGTGTTTGCTAGAAATAAGCCGTTATGTTAGCAGATTTGCAGCAGACAGTCGCCATTATCTGTTCGATCAGCTGCGACACCATAAGAACCACTTAGATGTCTTTTCTTTTCACCCAGTCTACCTACTTGAGGATCGAAGTCACCTGCTATGAAAGCACATTTGATGTAGACAAAATTATTTTAAAAACATATCCAAGAAGAACATTGGAAAACTCACATTCGGATCGAAATCTATAGCCGTAACAGCAGCATTACAACCAACGAGGGTTGAATGGACTTCACACTTTCCTAATTTCGAAAAATAAGCAACAACATAAGCATAAAGACATTTGCATAAAAAAATATTCTACCAAGAAAATGTAAATGATACAACCTGGAAATTTTCTAATGTATGTAGTACACAAGTCACTCAAAAATAATTTGAACCCAGAATATATGACTGCTCATAATTCAAGAAGGCTCCATTTTCACAGTGTAATAAATTTTTTCCTACACAGTTAAAAAGTGAATACCGTTTAGGAACGTCCATAACCGCAGTTTACGATCAAATCCTGCTGATCCGAAAATATGGCCTGATGGAGTGAATCGGACACTGTTAACTTCACTTTCATTAGCATCCTAGAAGTGACAATAACATGAATGTGGATAGATAACTCACTATTTTAACAGCAACATTACGTGGAAGTGCAGACTTGCAAGGTAATGGTTTATCCAAACGATCACTGAAAAGTCACAGAAGATAACGAAATCAAACCCATCAGTGACGAATATGGTTGAATTAACTGCATCTTGAAGATTCTTACGGATAGTTTCTTGAGTTTTTCTACAAAATGCTGAATTAGATTGGACTTACCTATACTGTATATCATACTCTATATTCTTCAACCTTTCAACAGTATTTTGTAGAGACTTGACTCTTTTTATAAGTTGCAGGTTGTCATCTTCAAGTTGTCTGTTTTTAGTTTCTAGTGCCTTCATGGCCATTAGGTGTGAAGCCTGTTCATCTGTAAGCAACTGAGAATACATGTTGCAGAACACCAATACAACACACTTCTTTAGTTTCTTCCAGCTCCTTAACCTTATCCATCAGGTGATGATTCTGCTTTTGGTTAGCTTTAAGGCACTCCTCCAACTCTGAAATCCTGAACAGCTCATTTTAATAACTGTGAAACCAACTTCAAAGACTTTGACTGAAGCAAAGTGTCTTTTTCCTGAAGGACTCGGTTTAAATCAATGACATTTTGCGCCAGCTGGTATTTTATAAAAAAATGTTTCAACTTACATTCCCTTTTTGACGATGTAACTCAGTAACCTCTTCTTGAAGATGAAACACTTTCTGTTCATAATCGTATGATTTGACGGACTTTCTAAAGATTTTTGTATCAAATGAAGAAAACATACATTTTTTCAAATTCAAGCTGTACCGTAGACTTTTCTTGTTGACATAATGTTAACTCACGTACAAGCCGTGTGTTTTCTCCCTTTAGTTGTACCACAAGTTCCTTATTTGAGTTGTCTGTAGTTAAAAATTAGATCGAATGCAAACAAACACTGAGCAAAAATTTCATTAAAAAAAGACTTTTCAACAATATCGCGTTCAAGTAATGATGACAATATAGCAGCTTTCCACGAAGGTTCCTCTTTTTCCATTTAAACAGCCACAAGGCCACACCTTTGTATTGGGCGCTCTGAAACCTTCAATACATATGGGACTTCATGAAATAAACCAAATAGTTTACTTCAGATCTAATCTTGATGTTAAAGAATATATGAATACGTTAGTTATCATACAGTAATGGTATTTTGGCTACTTGACCTCAGTTTCCTTTTTGAATTGGACAGATGTAATGAAAACAGTTCTCATTATGAAAGTAAGAAAGCTAGAACAAATAAAGCTAGAGTAATGCGAATTTATTAGACTTTTCGTTTTCGCTATTGGCCGCTTGCGACTTAATATGATAAAATGTGGCGGTAAGAAGTGACATAATATGAACGATTGGCATTGATAACTGATGGAATCAGGTTGATGATATATATAGAGATATAAAGAGAGAGATGTGCAAGAAAAGTGTCTTTGATTTTGCCATCTCAGCCGAGTCATTCATTATTTTATGTACTTTAAAATCCTCTTTCCATTCACTGGTATATCTGAAGCTGCATAAACCTCTTGAACTCGTACCTACTAGTTAAGTTAACATTTAGTACATATTCCAGATAATTTCTATCTCATTATTCTAGACTTTATACATTTATTTTCGTGTGGCTTAAAACGTGCGTGAACCTTTTAAGTTTATCATATGATCCGGCTTATCGTTTTTTTGCACGTCGTCCATTTATTGTATAATCTCCTCCTTTGTTTTCGAACTCCAACTGTTTAGTGGAGTTAATTCGTGAATAAGTTGTGACGAAAACGACTGGCAGGGTACTCCAAACATGACAGAACAATAGTATGGATAGATGGAATCTTTTAAACTATTTTCTCTTCGGTTATCTGATAATTTGACTCAAAAATCGTAACTGAGTGATCCAGATACACTTTGTTTATTTTGGTAACTTGAGTGACCCACAATTTCGTACGTGATAAGATTATTTCCTTCTCTGCGTATAACATTTTTTCCTATATTTCGTTTCATCAAACTATTTGAGCTGCATCTAATGTTTCTGTGTATGAGTGAATAAGCCAAAATCTTCTAAAGTCTTCTGAAGTCGCCTTTCTCGGATTTGACACATTCTAGCTCTACTGTTCAAGTCTACTCAACTTCTCTTCTATCCACTTGACACTCTCCACAACTCTTCCTTCTTCATTGTTGAACTCCTTCATTTGTGAGTTATACGCTTATATTCCCATAAATTACTTTTATTTTAGCGGTCAGTATGAATTTTATCTTCACTTACCACTACTGGCTACTTCAACATGACAGGTCAAGTAGTAATTTGGTTATATGTAAACACTTCCTACACTGCTGCTTTTTTTCTCTCACGCTTTTCTTCCTTTTCAGAACCCTATTCACAGTGGAAAATCCATGGCGCCTCTAGGGAACATGCATTCTGTGTACATGCAGTCTGGATTACAGTTTGTATCAAGCGCGTTCCAATTGATCTTTTCCAACAAATTCACTAATGATCTCAGCAAACCGCCCAAGACACCTACTGTGCACCTTCCCTGTTTGTACCCTCCTATTGAAAATGTGGCTGTATTATACTGTTTCTGTCAGTGACATGGTGTGAATCTGCTATCACAAACTGACTCTTATACTTAATTTAACTGTGGTAACTTTTACAGTAAATGTGAAAGCTTTTGATCTAGCCTGTAAACTGGCATGCCCCTTATAACGTATTTATTTGAGAATAAATATTATTATTATAGAGCGCTGAAATTGACAATAAAAGCAAGTCACTAGTTATCACATGATAACTGTCAGTCTAAGGATGTAAGGATTTATTAATCTCATTAAAAACATCAGCCCGATTGCGGAATTATGAATGAGCGTTGATGAGGAATCTCTTTCTGTCACGAACGGGTCATTCAGTGCTTCCTGGCTTTCAGTGGTTGTTCAAATAACTCTTATATATATTGTTCTCGGAAGGATGCAATCAATAAACAAATTAATTTTAATTTTTATTTCAAAACCAAAAAACAGATATGGTGTAAATCAAACCATTTTCTTTTTAGAAATAATGTGTTTCGTAATCGGCAGTTGGTTTATTCGTTTAGTTAGATAGACAGATGAATAACGTTAAATACTTTTAGGTTTCAGGAATGTAAGTGCTAAACATTTTGCTTTTCGGATTGTTGGGCATTTTAACACATATGCATGCTTGCTAAATGGTTCATATACAGAGGGTAATGCGTAAGAATATCTTGCTTACGCGAAAATATAGAAGCTACGACGCTTACGTTGCATGACATTCCTGTCAGTGTAGCAAGAAAGTACATTATTATGAAGATATCTATGTAGTGTTAAACAGGTTTCGAATAATTTTTTAACTTATCCTTAGAATTGTAATTCCTGAACTTTCCAATGAAAATTTAGGGTTAAATCAGAACAAGATGAGTTCAATATCCAAAATCCAAGATCTTTTTCACGAGTTCGTGTAAACCAATTTGATTTCAAGGAGCTCGATTCTTGTTCTTTCGATACGGTTCAAGGTGTTCGGTAATGTCCAATGGATGGAGGTCTAGCCACTCGATTGTCTAATTCTAGTCAGTTGGCAGTTGGTTGTGAGTTTGTATGTCTCGGGATTTGAATCAAAGCGTTTGTTTCAGGACAGTAGGGTCTCTGAATACAAGCAGACGCCACATTACCAGACCGGAGATCAGTTAGTTGCAATGTGGAGAGTAATAAGGACAATAAGGATAAAATTCTAATGAAAATACGGATAAACTTTCAGAACAGAGAAATAAAAAGATGAATTTAAATTGTTAGTTGGTAGTGACGATTGTGAGAGAGAACCGAAGTATCAGCAAGGGAGAAGAAACAGAGATCAAAGGCGAGATAGATTAATCGAGTGATCTGAGGAGATGGAAATGATAACAACCAGCAGGTTTCGTTTATTAAGAATAAAATGATGCTCGGCAAATGATTATTTTCTTTTCTCTCCTAACTGCATCGATAACAACTCCACTTTTGCTTCAGAAACGAGTATTTCATGAAATTATTCATGTTAATAAATTTGGCTCAAGCAAACAGAATGAACTTTGTTGGACAATACGGGCTCACTTATCTCGCTCTTACTCGTCAACTGATGCCAACCAAAATATAACAGCACTAATAATAATATGTATTCTCAGATAACAGCCTGTCAATCCTATTTGGTCTCTTATAGGTTTTCGAATTTCGAATTTGTTACAATGACTATATGAATAAAACAGTGGCGTTTAAATCCTGCAAAATTCCGTTATATTGTACTCATATTACACTGCAGAAAATTCTAATATATGGTACAAGATTTTATGTTCCCAATTGTTCACGTCCGTAATTATAAGGATATAACGGTAACATTTTTCACGTGGTATAGTTTTCTTCGTAAATTTATCATTCGTAGGGTATTATACTGATTTAGTAAAATTATCTGTTATACCCTGTGCAGTTTGCTCCTAGAAAGCGAACCTTCTAAGTTTTTAATCAGTTAATGCATGCTTGTCGTAGACTAGCATTCCGAAGTACCGATAGAAGTTTGATGACGTTCTTAACTTCTGAATACACCAGTTTAAACCTACTTATCGACTGACAGTGATTCTTACACTTGATAACTGAACGTCTTATCTATGAAATCTATCTCTACCGGCACTGATTTTTAGTATTAACCCAGTTAATACACAACAAGTTATACCCTTATATATCTGCGTTAATTAGACAGGCAATTATCACACTCAGTTTTCCATTATGACCAATAATTTGAGTAAAAGAGAAATGTCTCCAACTTCTAAACCACCCAGTCAGTCAACCCTATGTCTGATGAATCTAATACTGGAAGAGTCACACCTCCGTCTTGTAAACCCTGTACCTCTTATCAACAAATTTCATCATCTTTAGCCAGTAATCTGTGTGAAAACTCTTCACTAAGTATTCCAACGGTAAAACTCGTAGATATCAGAGGTGCCATACCCACGTATACCGAAACGTCAACACAGAATAAACTTCAGCATAATCTTGTGAAGCCAAAATCTGAAATTTCACAAACCAAGGAGTTGGATGATCCATCCGAAACCGATCACAGTAGTAATAACCATGGCAGAGAGATACGACAATTACAAAACTCACTTGCCCAAATTAACGATAAGCTTAACCTGTTAGCACCCCTCACGCACAAATGGGCCTCAACTAATGTCGGAACCTCGAGGAATTAACCAAAGCTGAATAGATCCTAGAGTTTGTAGCTGAGGAAGTTACAAAAAGACTAATGTCTTCCTGCAGTGCGATTTCATATAACCTCCCTGACCGCACATCCTCGACGTCACTAAGGGATACCTGTCACTTCATACCACATGCAGAGTATAAAGGCACTCCCGTTGCACAATCTCAAACAGGCAACGTTCTCCCCTTTCCCCCGGGCTGACAACCCCTTCTGTAGATTTTAGTAATTTACTTAACATGTACCCTCTGACTCCTCATACCACACCCACGTAGGTCATAGTAACTCCTTTACTCAATAGACCCTAAACTATTTTAGCTTAGCGGGACATCTGTTTAATGTATGTCTTATTATTGCTCGTTTGATCTGTAATAAAAAGACAGATCTAGTCATGTTTGCGACTATATGCCAAAGATAACTCATAGCGATAACCGAGGCATGGACTTTCAGTAATATTTCTGATCTTATTATATCTCTTGAAAACTATGATCTATTTCGCAGTGATAGGTTACGAAGAAGAGGTGGAGGATGCCTCATATATGCACACTCTAGTCTTAAATCATTCTTATGTGATATACCGGAACTAAACAGATTGCCAGATTCTGTGTGGGTCGTCCTGAAGCCCTCACATGTAGTTCCTAATCAAAGCAACTAAATGATACTAATCAATTATTGAACTCAACATGTTAACGGCCCAACCAGAAATCAAAATAAATTTGATTTAGTTTTCACCAGCAATCTCATTCCTCATACTGTATGCGTTGGAATAAAGTTTCTAGGTAGCGGTTATATTATGGTCATATGCAGCCTTGTTATAGGAGCTATAACTATAAAAC